TCTCTTATACACATCTAGATGTGTATAGAGGGGAGGGGGGGGGGAGAGAGGGGGGAGGAATCCACAAGGCCCCAAAAAGAACCGAAATAATATAAAAACAAAAGAGGGACATATCTTTGAAGAGACAGTGCCATTTGGACAAGCTTATGGACCAGGAACATTCTCGTGGACGGACCGGCCAGTTCACCATGTACTAACCATTCAGCCACATGCATCTCGTACGTACAGTTATAGTTATTATTATTAGTATTATTAGTATTATTAATATTATTATAACCTTAATACATAAATAATATAACCATGTTAAAATTACAGGATAGTCAGCAGATCATTACGTGCCACATCACATACCTGAAGCTGTACAATCTTATCCACGATTTGCTCGATCGCGTCTCGAACCCATAACCTCAAATCTGTCACGACTTGATCATTACGACTACGTGCCGTGTGCAGCTTCCGTCCAGGTTCACCAATAAGGTCAATCAGGGCCGCTTCGACGTTCATGTGTACGTCTTCCCGATCTGCCCTCCATTGAAACTCCCCACTCTCGATTCGATCCGAAATACGATCCAAACCTTCCAATATCGCAGCCTCATCCTTCTCCGTGATCAAACCCTGAACGCAGTGCCATCAAATCAGAAAAAAAAAGAGTAAACATGACGACAGGCGAATTTCTTATCACATTTTTTTTGTCCCAAACCTCTTCATACACTCCATTGGCGACACTATGCCTTAACACATATGAATCTCTGTTTTTATTATCGTAATCCCCAAAAACCTCACTTTTCAAAAAAAAAAAAAAAAAGCAGAGAAACGGCTACTAGTGGCAAATGACGTCAGAAGATCATCGTAGTTAGCCCCTATTTCCTTGTCTGCCCTTCCTTCCCTTCCCCGCCCCCCCCCCTTCTCCCCCTCCCGAACCGTCAGCAGAAAAGGCAGAGAAAAGGAAAAGAAACGGGGCCCTGAGAAACAGACTGCTTGTCGTCCGAATTGCACCCACTCATCATCTACTTACTATATATCGTCAAACAGAGCTGCCAACGGTAAACCGTAGGCAGAGAGGGAGAAGGAGAAGAGGACAACAAACGAGGGGCTGTGACAAACTGTTTCGTCGAAGTTTATATATGCATAGAGCCACAGAGAACTCCCCAGCGAACCGGAGGCAGAAGGGATAAAAGGACACATAATCGGGGGCTGTGACAGATTACACATATCTATATGTCGTCAAACAGATCAAGCAGTTCTGCACAGACTGGCTGGGGGCGGGGAGGGGTGATCAGGGAGGTTGGGTGGCGGATGTGGAATGGAAAACGGCGTCAGGGGAGGAGCAGGGAGAGGAATGACTCGGGACTACCACCTTCGCTCCCACAACTGGCCTCAGATCGACCCCCCCTTCCCCTTCTATCCAACTCAATCCACCATCAGACTTCCCTCCTGACCTCTTTCCTCCGCCCGCTCTCTCCTTGGTAAATATGCAGAGGGTATGGAAAGTTATTAATCTTCTTGTCTTTAAGCTTGGACTAAATGGAGGAGGATGATTGCCAGGAAGCAGGGACGAGAACTAAATGAAAATATAGTTTGCCCTTGTGTCTTGTAGTCGGAGTAGGGACACTGGACCTGGTTTACAATTAGCCTCTTTGAGGCTTGGCTTTTCGTTCCGGGTTGAGATGTGGAGGGATTCCCGGCCTCCTTTTGCCAATTTTAAAGATACTATGCTATTTAAAACAAAACAAAAAAAAAAAAAACTGCGTAGCACTGTTCAGTCCTCTGCTCATTAGAACCCTTCAGTTCTATTCCAGTACTATTCCTTCTGTTCAGTCCTTAGATTTGTACAGTTCACCGAGTCTGCAGTGTCTGTGTTGCGTTTTTTGGTTTCTGGTTCAGTTGAGTCCGTACTAGTCCGGTCCAGATCTTTTCAGTCTCGTTCAGTCTGGCTCACAGTTTGGTTCAATCCCACGTACAGTCCATATATATTCCAGGTAACCGCTGCAGGTGTACTCAACTACACCAGATTACACATGAATAGCTGGCACCCTATTTATGAGTAAAGAGGTGTCTGATCACAAGCACTATACTAGCCCAGCTCAGTCAATCCCCTGAAGCTACCAGGGTAAATCAATGCTGACTGAGAAACACTTTCGAACACTCCAGAACGATATTACTGCAACCAATATGTAATCACAGGGACGCTGAACCCGATTTCCAGCAGGACCAGCTCCCCACCAATAGACTGGAGTGACCAGGATGGCTTCTAGTCAGGGCTCCTCATATCACCCTTCCTAGCATCCGATATATATTATATATTGTCACATGAATATCAGAGCGCAAATGCGAAAAAAAGAAAAAAGGAGAAAAGAAAACCAGGGAAAATTGAGTTCAATTTTTTATCTTCTTCCTTATAACTCCCCCTGTTCAGAACCTCTTGCGTACAAGGCCGCCCACGTGGATGTAGGTTGAGCGGCGGCTGCCCCCACCCCCGTGTGTCATATCGACCCACTTGCACACAGCCAAAAGGCAAAGAGGCAAAGAAGAGAGGAAGGGAACAGCCAAATGAAACAAATAGAACAGAGGGAAACAAAACAGCTCCCAGATCCGCCCGCTCCGTCAAAGGCCAACCAACGGGACAAGACCACCCAGGACAAGACATAAAAAAGCGACGATCCACAGTGTGACAACCAAGAAAAAAAGAGAAGACAATCCCGGATGACGATTCCCACATACAGCACCGCCCCGCGCTCAAAGGGCCAAACAACGGGAAACAACCAAACCAACCAGGATGTCAGAACACTTGCCTGCAAAACGATAACCCGATAACCAATCCCACATGAAGCACCGCCATCCCTCCTCCCTAAGATAGTATATATTGTCACATTGTGAATCAGAGCGCAAAAAAGGGAAAAGAAAAAAGGAAAAGGAAAAAAGGGAAAGGGAAGGAGGTAAGGAAAGCTCCACCTGTTCATAACCTCTTAAGATAGTATATATGTGCACATCCTCTCTCTCTCTCTCTCTCTCTCTCTCTCTCTCTCTCTCTCTCTCTCTCTCTCTCTCTCTCTCTGTCTCTCTCACACACACACACACACAGAGCATGCCCCCCTTTCCTTGTTTTCTCCTGCCGTTCTGCCTAAGGTTCACCCGGCAGTTCCCTGTGAGAACAAAGAAAACAAGGGAAACTTCATTTTGGATACGCTTTCTCCCCCCAACTCTTCAGACAATACACCTTTTAACCCAGTGAGTGGTACACCACTAAGTTCATAATCGACGACTCGGTAGTTGGGAGTTTTGGGACTCTACTACAATACCGTTCAAATAAATCCTTCGCATAAGCAAGAAAAGAAAGAAGAAAACATACAGAAAGGAAAAAGGGAAGAAAGCATGGAACGAAGGAAAGGACGGATAGGAGGAAGGAGGAATGTTCCAGCTCGGGGGCAGGATGAACCATTGTGTCCCGTTTCGGAGGGGTCCACGTTCCCCTCCATCCCTTCCCAACCCCCCGTCCCTTCACCACTACCCACCTCTCCGTTCCCCCATCCCCTCGCCACCCCGAGACGCGGACAAAAGAAGGAAATCGAGCCCCACAGCGAGGAAAACAGAGAAAGTAGAAAAGGGGAGTAGAAACGAAAAGTAGAAACAGACAGGCAGGCATAGGTCTTCAAAACGCGGACCCATGAAAAGGCGAGTAATATTTCGACCAAGAGGGGGAAAAAAAAAAAAAAAAAAAAAAAAAAAACAGCTCTTGCCTGCCAACCCATAAGCCTTCCATGGCTAGACACGTGTCACAGACACGCCGCAATGGCCAGCCAACAACGCACGCCAGATCGACCATTTCCCGCTCAGGTTTGCCTGATCAGTTATTTGTCACTATCATCATCATCATCATCACATCATCAGCTATTTCCCGCTCATCATCACAACTCTCATTATTATTATCTGATATAATGTCGTAATAACAAGGCGCAAATACCTCGACCAGGCATAAATGATGAGTCAAGACGACCTGGCCCTAATGACTGAATGGTCACCCGCAAATCACTTTTGCGAAACAGATCCAGCGATCACACCCTGTTGGATATACTTTTTAAGGCTAAAGCCTACACTCTTTCTTACACAAACAAAAGAATAACAAACAAACGAAACAAAAAGTCGAAGCACCAAAACTACACACATGAAGTAATGAACCGAAAAATACCCCGACCAGGCATATGTGAAGCGTCAAAACCACCTGCCTGTGGAGGCTGACTGCTCACCCGCATATAACTCTTTCATAAGTATAGGTCGACTGTTCAAAACCCTGTTGGCCACAATAACGTCAAGAGGTTATGCAACTTATGCTCTTTATTACCGGGAAAAGGAAAAAAAGTCAAAACCACCAAGACTGATACACGGACCAAAACACACACACACACACACACACACACACACACGGAGATCGACTGTCCGGGGTTCAACCTCCTGATGAGTCGGTGAAAGTCCGACGAAACAGATTGGCACAGTCATGTTTTCTGTGGAGGTGTGTGTAGCGGATATGACAACACACACCGGGATTGATCAATAGAGAGGGAGAGAGAGACAGAGAGAGACAGAGAGAGAGAGAGAGTGTGACGATAAATAGTTTACTACCGTCTGGTCCAAGTGCTTGATCACAAACAGCAAAGAATAAAAAAAAGAAAGGAAGAAGAAGGAGAAGGAGATAACGAGGCCAACACTACGCGCTAACGCGTTCAGAAAGATATGTCATTCCGATGTTAACATGAGCTAACATCCAAGACAACGCGCACATTCGAGCTCTTTTCTCTCTCTCTCTCTCTCTCTCTCTCTCTCTCTCTCTCTCTCTCTCTCTCTCTCTCTCTCTCTCTTTCTCTCTCTCTCTCTCTCTCTCTC